CACGACGCTTCGTCATTTCTGCGAATCAGTCGGATCAGATTTAAGTGATAACGATAGGCGCGAATCACTGGTACCACTATTCGCTCCCGAGCGAACTGATCTAGTTTACCTCGGCAACGATCATATGTTCGATGGACGATCCTTCGCGATTCCGAACGCTCACGCGCGTTCTCGAACGGGCAAATGGACTGTCATTCTCGCGCGTACGTGCAATGCTCCGAGCGGAACATGCGTATACGCATGCACGCACACGCAACGATGCGTTGAAATATGTATTGGGATAAGCTACAACTGGATTCGCCTACAGAATTGCCTCTAAATATCGTCTCATCCCCTGCAACGAGTCAGACGAAACTCGCCAAACTTCACACTCTTGAAAAGACGAGACTGCTTTCAGCGCCATCTACTGTTTTATATGAGCAAATTAAAATTAGTCACGTGACTGCACGTGATGGCGGAGCAACGAGTCGCGCTAAATTTAAATCTATGTTATGTATATGTTTACTTGTGATATAATACAATAAATAATAATTCTGAACTTGTCGGATATTTAATACACTGCAAATATTTTAAATTTTTGCTGTATATGCGCGTGCATCGTGTGTGTGACCGATTTTATGTTAATATAGAGCATTTATTATAATTGATGTAAAATAAAAATATCAGTATAAAGTATTGGGTAATCATGATATAATACATACAGTTTAATAGTAAAATGTAAAATATTTATGTATTTCATGCACGGAATTGTTTACAAAACAAAAACCATTTAATTGGTTGACCATCTAATCTAATATCTTTGAGAATTTCTACATATTTTCTTAATTCACTTACACATATAAATAATATTTCCACACTTGCTCGAAATTGTTCTAAATGCATTTATAATTCATCTCTATCCTCGTCATAATCAGTATTAGTAATATCATGATTAGAATCACTCTCATGATTAGAATCTCTCTCATCATAATCATAATCATTATCATCATCATCATCATCAATGTAATTTTCGTTACAGATATTTGAAATCTCTGTGCAAAGCTTCTCTTTTTTATTGCGTATATCATTAACATATAATGATAATATATCTTCTTCAAATTCCTCAACTATAAATCTGCACTAAGAACATTAGCACAAATTAATGGATAAGAACATGTTTTAAATTAATATTCAAATATAATAAGCAGCACTCACGTAATGCTCTAGACTCTTATTTAAATCACCATCTTGAATTATGTCTACTTCCCCCATCCGAGGATTCATCATACCCGGTAAAGATATAAGATTTAATATTGTCAATTGATTGTTAGATTTCTTTCTTGCTCTCACATAGTCTGTCATTTTCTCACAGATATCATCCAACAAATCCAAGATGTATACTTCTGATCGGCTTAATGGAACCTTGAAAGAAATTTTATATTAATAAAATGAATATATAGAATAATTTACAAAATGTTATGATACACAAACAATTAAAATATTTAACATCTTCTTACCATTTTGTGTTTAGTATTTCCCTCAGCATCCATCCTATAACTACCTACTTCAATTAATTTGTTAGGATTGGCTTTGGATACTTCAACTTGTAATTCTTTCATAGCTGCCCTGCAAACTGAGAGACGCAACAATTATTTTTCTACTAATAACTTTGTAATTTTGAAATTATTAAAGAAAAAGTAAAATTATCATAAATTGCAATTTATTTTTACCTAAACATTTCAAATGCTTTAGATCGATTTCACTAGGCTATGCAAATACGCTT